TTCTTTTTAGTTTTCTATTAAATGTCTCTGCAAATAGGTGGCTCTGCCAATGCTTAGCCACAAAGGAGTCAATTAGTCGATCTTCTGATCTTATCTTTCCTCAAGTTGGCAGGAAATTTTTTTTTTTTTTTTACTAATGCTATCAATATAGATACTGTTACTTTTATTATAAACATTGTTATTACCTTATTGTTATTGGCATTACTAACATTAGTATTAGATACTAAAAAATGTTATTGAAAATCAAAGAAAAGGTTAAACAGCTGAGACAGATTTTGAAGTTCATGAAAGAAATGTACTGGAAATTTTTATTTATTTTTTTTCATCTGTTAGATATTATAGATGGTTACTCCATGCATTAAAACTTTAAGGATTTTTTTTTCTTTTTCAACAGCCTTGTAGAAGACTTGGAAATGACTTGTTTCCTCTTCACTGGTTTTGGAACTTCCTTCATTAAGTCACAAAGGCTTAGTCCAGACAGTTTTCTACAGATGGCTATTCAGTTAGCCTTCTACAGGTAGGACTTCCAAAGATTTACTAGATATTTTGATAAAACCAATTGGAACTTTTTTGATGGATTTTGTAAAATTGCTCCCATTGTGGGTTGAGAGACACTCTAAGGGCCCAATGTTGGGAACTTCTCTATCCTAGGCCTTAGTCCTCGGCTAAAGCAGTTTTGCACTGTCTTTTTTTCTCCCCCATTCCTTTTCCATATCCTCTGTAATCCCTTCCCTTAACTTCCTAATGTATGAGAGCTGTGTTGAAAGGATGAAAACCTGACTTTGTACCACTCATGAACTGCCTCAGAAAGCCATGGGCAATGTATTCTACTCTTTAGTAATGGTCTAGCCCTTACCCCTCATGGGGACCCTGATGGCTGGACAATTCCCACCTCTACAAACCTTTTGACAACCCTTTTTAGGTCAGCCAAGTGGGATTGATTTCTTGTGATTCTCCCTACAACTCATTACTCTGACAGTTCCCTTCTCTTCCAACAGTGTCTCCAAAAATTACTAGTCAAAGTTTCCTTCTGCAGCCTTGGCTGTTCACAGCTTGTCTCAGTTACATTGAAGTCCCAAGCTCATGCATTATCTACCCTGGTGGACCTCACTGGCAAAACTATTCCTGCCCAACTCTGCTCTTCCTTTAATACTTGTACCGTAATGTTTCCATCTCTCCGGCTGATTTCCCTGTCTACAACAAGGATTGATTGACTGTGAAATGGCCTTCTTGGCTGACTCATTGACTTATGATGAGGTATCAGTATTATGATGCAGTATCACTTTCCCCCCAGAGGTTGCAGTAAGTCTTACATCAATATTGCCAAGATTACTTCCTTAGACATAAGATTCGCCATGAGGTCTATATTAGTCTTGCCTTGTCTGACCTTATCGACCACTACCCCATCACTGTTGGAAATATTGATGTTGTGGCCACCCTGCCAAGCACTTTTACTGTACAGCCTGCTGTCCTCTATGTGCCCAACCTGGTCATGACTTCAAATTGCCCTGCACAATCATGTACATGTGATAATTGAGGTGATTCCCATAATGTATTTCATAGGAACTGCCATGCTTACAAGTTTGAGTGTGAGGTAACAGTTCTCAGACAAAAACTTGGCCTCACATTACTGGAGGCCAGACAGGAAGCACAATGCCCTTATAATGCCTTTTTTTCTTTTTGAAATCCATTATGCCTTACAGTCATGCTGCAACACCCATGTAGGCCCTGATGGTATACATTACCATATGTTATAACACCTCCCACCTACCTCCTTATCCTTCTTACTAGTAATATTCAGCAACATTTGGATGAGTAGAAACTTGCCTCCCCACTGGTGTGAAGCCCATGTAGTACCTTTCCTAAAACCTAATAAATCTGGTACCCTTCCTCAGGATTACCATCCCATTGCTCTTACAAGCTGCTTAATATAGTACCACAAATGTTGCTGCCTTATCTCTCCTAATCAGTTTGGATTTCTATGCAGCTGAAGTACAGCTTATCCCTTTGCCCATTTTGAGACACACAGTATTTACACACCATGATTCAGTATAAGCTGTCTTCTTCGATCCTTCAGTGGTTATCATGGCATATGCTTAAACATGGGTGTGTTCATAGAATCCTTCCTTTCTGATCACACTTTCTGTGTAAAATTTGCTCTTCTACTTCCTCTTCTTTACTTCAGTTTGAAGGTTTCCCACATGGCAGTGTGTTCAGCACCACATTATTCTTCATTTCTGTAAATGGATTAGTTTCAGCCCTACCATCAGGCATCTGGTCATCACTGTTCATGTATGAGTCGGCCATTTTTGTCTCTCATCCTACCATACCTGCTCTCCGTCAGCTTCTCCAGTCTGCAATAACATGTCTCCTCTTAGGCCACTCTAAAACTTTCTCCATACTTTTTTTCTCATTCACGTATAGGCCCCCAACCTCTTCCTCTATATGATGCTCTACTCCAGTTCTGCTCTTTGGGTTATTTTTGACTCTGCACTGTCATGATGGAATCTTATTCTCTTTGTCAAAGAAAAAGCCCGCCATCACCTCTGACTCTTTCAAACCCTTGTATATACCCTGGGTTTCAGATTGCAAAACTCTCCTGTATCTCCATATTACTCTGATTCTCTCCACTCTCAATTATGGCTGCCATATATATTCTGCCCACACCTCCCTTCTCACTCACCTTGGCTCAGTCCACCACTGTGGGCTGCGATTAGTACTAGGTGCCTTCTGATCCTCTCCAGTTGAGAACCTCTACGCTGAATCAGGCCTACCATCTCTTTATTGATTTCTCTCTATGCTTGTTTTCAGCATTTTTACCTTTTTACCAAACTAACTACCCCTCAATCTGCCTTTCCTCCTCCACCTTTACCTACACCTTTTCCTATTTATATTGATACCCTACTTTTCCATTTACGCTTTCTGCATCTCCCATCCCTTCCTCTTTTTGCACATTTTTTCCCTCCCCAGCTAATAACTTCTTCCTGTAATAGCTCTGTTTTCCCTAATCTATCCAAATCAAACATCCCTCCTGTCCCCCTCACCCATTTTCTTGCACATATCTCTACTCACTCCTCCAGTACCCATGTCTATACAGATGGCTCTAAATCCCTCCTGGATACTTGTTGTTGTAGTCTTTCTTTCTAGTGTATACAACTTTCTTGTTCTTCCTGAATCAAGCATCCTTATGACAGAACTATAACTTACTCTTCGCTCTACAATGCATGTCTTCCGTCACTTACTCATCCTTCACCATTTTTACTGGCTCACACAATTCAGTATTATTCATACAATCAAAGACCAGTTGTTTTATGTCTGCAAGACAGAAATCAGTCAAGCTTTGCTGGCTACCCAGCCATGTCTGGATCCATGACAGTGAACAAGCAGATCCCTCTGCATGCTTTGAAGCCTTGTCCACAACCCACTAGTCCCATTTTTCACAAACTATTAAAGCTTCCATCTCTCCTTGATCATCTCCATTCCACGAGAACAGATGCTGGGAAGGTGCTCTTGCCCACATACAAATAGATCATACTTATCGTACACTTTTGTATCTAATGTAACACTCCATAACACCTCTGTGTTCCTCATGCGATGTTCCTCTTTTGGTCCTGCACATCATGCTATCCTGCCTCATCTTTTCTACAGCCCCATATCTCTGCTTTTCCACACTTGTCCTCTTTTATCCGATCCCCCAACCTGTTGTACATCTTCATGGAATCCTCTAATTTTTCATTGGACAACTTGTTCTTCCTCAGGTGCATAGAACCCTCCATTTGATCTAATCACCTTTCGTTCTTAACTGCTCCCACTTCTGCTAATCCCTTCCTACCCCATTTACTCCCCCTTCTTTTACCCTTTTCACTACCATAATACCTTATAATTTTATGTTAACCTTTTTTCATTTTTCTTTTTAGTCCTTTTTTCTCTTTTACTACTACTGATTAATATCATTAATGTTATTGATATTATTAATACTCTTAATAGTATTAATAATTAATTAATGATAATTGATGATAATTATTAATAATAAATATTAATAACATTTATTATTGCTACTACTGCTGTTACTCCTACTACTTCTACTACTACTACTACTACTGCTGCTGCTACTGCTGGTGCTGGTGCTACTGCTGCTGTTGCTGCTGCTGTTGCTGGTACTACTGCTGCTGGTACTACTGCTGCTGCTGCTGTTGCTGCTACTACTGCTGCTACTACTACTGCTGCTGTTGCTACTACTACTACTGCTGCTACTGCTACTACTGCTACTACTACTACTGCCACTACTGCTACTGCTACTGCTGCTACTACTGCAACTGCTACTGCTGCTGCTGCTATTTTAGTTATAACTATAATAATAATAAATACTACTACTACGATTATAGTTATAACTATAATAATAATAATAAAATTAATAATGATTATTATTATTGCTCCTCAGAATCCACAAAGAACCTGGGGCTCACTATGAGTCTGCATCAACCAGGAGGTACCTCCATGGTCGCACAGAAACAATCCGCTCTTGCTCAACAGAGTCGGTAGAATTTGCCAAGACAATGTTAGATGAGAATGCTTCTGCTGATGAAAAGGCCTCTTCTTTACGAAAGGCTGTTGAAGGACACAAGAATTATGCAAAGGATGTAAGTTGTGTTGTCAGTCTTTGCTGAGGTTTTCTTTTATCTTAACATTTTGTTAAAGAAAAATATAAGAGAGAGTATCCTGAAGTAGAACATTTTAATTTTATTCATGTATTTATTTGTTGTATTTGTAGGCTGTCCGTGGTTATGGTGTTGACCGTCACCTCCTTGGCTTGAAGCTTTGTGCAATTGAAGCTGGCATGGATGTACCCACTCTATTTATGGATGTTGGTTATATCCGTAGCTCCCACATGCGTCTCTCCACCAGTCAGGTAGTAATTCATTTTTTCTACCTTTCCTTTCTTTCTAAGGTTGTAAATATCCTTCTGTACTGTATTAAATGGAAAATAATTATCTGTTTAAGTGTGTTAATAAATTTTCATATGTTTTAGGTCCCAGCACGCTGTGAAGCTTTTATGTGCTTTGGCCCACTTGTACCTGATGGCTACGGCTGTTGCTACAATCCACGTCCAGATTCAGTTGTATTTGGAACATCTGCATTCAACTCGTCTCCAGAAACAGATTCAGCAACTTTCCGTGCAGCTTTGGAGGAAAGTTTAATGGATATGCATGATGTACTACTGAAGAGTGGACTGAAAGCCAAACTCTAGTGAGCAAATAGATAATATAGTTCTCTCACATTACATTATTAAACAGTCTGAAGAAAAGCTAATAATAAAGATTTTGTAATATTACTTTGGGCAGGGTATAAAGCTCTTGCACTTATAGGAAGTACAGCAAAATGGATTGCTCTCAAAGATGAGATTTGGATCAGAGTAGATTAAGTAAAATCAAGTAAATTATTTATAATAATATTTGAAATGTAGGTGGATTCTAGATTTTAATTAGTTGTGTTTTTATATATATGTAAACTGAAAGAAAAGTATAAATTAGTTCTGCTTGTTTTAGTCTCATTGTTATTGTACAAAACAGTGTATTGTTACAAATAGTTATTACTGGTATACTGTGTGAGGTTTCTAGTTACGTCTATCATCAATGTAAAACATCTTTTAAGTTCTTTAACTATGGTATGATTATTGCTGTTTAATTATTGAGAAGAATGAAGTTATATTGCTGTACACATTTTAGCTCCTTAATGTAAGAGAGAATTATTATGCCAGTAGTATATATAATTAGTTGTACTTTGTTAACATTTGTGTGATATACCAGTGAGTTTTTTCATATTAAAGTACAGTTTCCTAATTTTGTTTACTTATTTTTAAAGTTCTTATTATTGCAGACCTTATCTTTAAAGCATGAACAACTATCAGCATGGTCATATCAAAGAATACATTTACTTTTTTTCAGATTTTACAGAAGCACACATCATAAAAAATATATGGTGTAAAGTCTTTGAAATAATTTTCAAAATGCACATTTTTTGTTTTGGGGTAAACTAATTGATTTTTTGTTAAAAAAAAAATAATAATAATAATTGCCATAGTTGCAGACAACAGTTTTATATATTCTAAAAATTTATTTTGTAACTGAAAATGGACCAGAAAATATAAGCAACATTTCTTAAGATAATCATAGCTCGCATCCATCTTACCATCTTTGAATGCAAAGTTTCGAGCTTTATTTTTAGTAACTTTTTTTTCAGAACACTGATATGGTAGAATGAGAATTTGTATGCATTCTCTTAGTTATTATTTGTTAATGTTAAGAATAAGAGCAAGTAATTGATAGCATACATATTTTTGTATAGTCAGTTTAAAACTTCCTTTTAAAAGAAAGGTCATGATAACCTTCATATATATGGTTACCAGAGATCAAGTTTGTTTAGAAGGACTAAGTAAATTTCAATTGTGTATGAAAACAAAATAAAATAGCTTGCCGACATTTGGCACAAACTTGTCTTCCAAAAATACATAATTTAACAGGTAAATAATTTTTAAAAAGTAAAGAAATTTCATATGAAAGAAAATAGAGTATATTGAAAGAGAAGGCTTTCTAACATTGTATGCTTTCTATAATTATTTCCATATATAAAAGTCATGTGTACTTAGTACTATATTTTTTATTATAGGTACATGTATATTCTCAAAACGCAATAAGAACTTTAACATTTTTTTGACTGATGCTTTACCTTTATGTTGTATATGCATTTTGGAGGTACAAAAATAAGACTATAGCATTTCCTACTTGAACAAATAGAAAGAAAATTGGTATTTCCATAATGATGCACAAACAATGTGGCCACAGGGTTAATGAAAAAATAAGCAATATGTAATTTTTCATTGAGGAAGGAAGAAAAATGTCATTTCAGGAGTGTTTTATACCTGCAACTAACTTTTTTCAGGAGTTAAGACATTCTTTTGGGACAAGTTTTACTATCGTTGCCTGTGACAAATTGAATATTCTTCCCAAAATCAAGCTTATTTATAAGCTCATGCTGGCTTTTGCATAGAAAGTGTACACCAAACTACTACTATATAAGTTATGTTGACAAGAATTTACCTCCCTCATTATTAAAGAAAAGTGCTTTGGATTATCAGCACATATTTTGAAATTGTTTTTATCAAGATTTTTCTTTGACTTTGTATGGTACTATGGTGTATTTCTCAAGATGTGGTCATTAGGAACTGGTTATTTTTGAAAAAGTAACATGTGGTATGTAATCCATTGATGCCAGAAAGTGTAGTGTTCACTATAGTTTTGTTTTGTGACATGTCTCTACACATAGATGGCTCAATAAGTACTCAGCAACCAAAGAGCCAATTAGTAGACCTCATTCCTCGCCTAATTTCACTTTTCCATGGATTTTGAGGAAAATGTTTTTATTACTAATGCTGTCAATAATAATTATTATTATAGACATTATAATAATTTTTTTTTTAGTAAATCTTGGGTAATTATCTAGTTTAACAGCATTATTATTCCTTGAAATTATTATTCCTTCATTATGCACAATGTAACATATATAAATGAGTTTTGGTAACTTTACAAAGTGACTGCACCCTCCAGATGGTAAGTCCCTATTACTCCAACCACCCGTGGGAAATCCACAAACATTGTCGTATGAACTAAAAGCCATCCTACCCTAGGTGCTTCGTCCCCAGAACCCATCTGATCGCCGTATTCCCCTATTCGGGGCTGCGCTCCCATTCTCCCACCCAATCGTCGTGGACTTGCTCTCCGCGAGGCATTTATCACGAGCCTTTTTCTTTATTTCTGACTTTTTCTGTCTACGCAGATTAGTTCATGTATCAACGTCCGAGGGAAATACCATTGATGAAGTGTCTTAATTTCGGCTGTCCTGTCCATTACAAGCAAAATTTACCTTGTGCTATTTGCCTATGGGAAACAAACTATACCTTACAATGTATGAACTTGTTGTTTGTTTACTTGTTGGATTTGTTGGCTAATGGCCAGCGGCATAAGGCCATGTGATACGTGTCAATCCAATGGATTCTATTTATTATTTAAATCTAGAGAAGTTTTGTCTCACTTAGAAAAGTGATTACTTAACTTATTTCTTTATCACCTCCAAGCAGATTTAATATAAATCCTTTATTTCTTTTTACGGAAATTTTATTTCTTTATTTATTTACTCTGTCATTACATCATGGCATCCTGTTAGCATGTTAAATAATGATCTCTCTCAACCTCTGCTGTACTTCCACTTAAGGCACCATGGCCTTAGCTGGTGGAAGCCAATCTTCCATAATGGTGAAATCGGAGGTTCTCATGACGCTATATTTGACTGAACCAGGGTATCGATGGGAGGTCGTGGAGTCTTGTGAGTAAGTCTAATGCAATCATTACCATTAGGATGACTTGGGTCTGGAGCCACCTTTGTGGCAGAGGTCAGTGCCAGCTGGCTGCGTCTAATTCAGAGGGCACGGACTCCTGACTCCTCAAGACGCTCGATTAGAATTCACTTCAGAGCTCCAACACACACACACGCACACACACACACAAATAAGCATTCTACATAACATCCAAACATTTCAAATTTGAGTGATGCTGAACCATAAACAATATTCTACTTTAGACCTAATCAGGTACTTGCATATCATTAGCAAATACTCTATCAGCTCTCCATATATTACCAGAAATGTACATTAATAAATTAAGTTCTCTTTGACATTTGTTCTTTAACTGACCAATGCGGCCCTTTCAAGTTAACCTTCGATCAAAGAGTGGACCAAGAAATCTAGCAGAATGGGTGAGTCTAGAGTTAGCCTGATGTTTGGCTCACTTCTATGTAAAAAAAAATTACCTTTGTACTCTCGTGAGAAACTTAAAACCCCACTGGAGGCCCCATTTATGAAACATCCAGTGCCAATTGCATGCCATTTTCCGAGAATTCTGCATTATTGCTGGAATACCTTAATCCACAATCATAGCGTACAATGAGTATTAAAGATGTCGATGGGGAGCTAGTAAGGTGTCATTAATCGTGCACTGGTGACGAGACTTCCTTGTGGGACCCGTTTGCCTGGACAAAAATGTCCGAAGAAGTGACAATGAAAACAACTTGGCAGAGAAAATTCCGTCAAAATATGAAATTTTGAATAAAACAAGGCATGCTTCCACGTAATCCAAAGGTATACAGTTTTCTGCATAGGCCGTATCGCCATGTTATGTCGTAGGCTCTTTATGTATCTAAAAACACAAATCAGAAAATGCATTTTGGCATGTCTCTTTATGTGACTGTCCAGCTTTACTATATGATCAAGAGTCTGGCGCCCCTTTCGGAAGATGCACTGCTTATCAACTAGCAAATTATTGGAATTTAAAAAATGCAATAGCCTACTATTAATAATTTGTTCTATGATCATGCATAAGCAAGTTGTCAGCGCACTTGGGCGGTAAGAGATGGCGGGTCTGGGTCCTTTCAATTTGGGAATAACGTGGGTAAAGTACCGTGAGTTTGAAAAAGTCTGGGTATTCCAAATTTCAAAGAATGAATTTCGCTTTCTTCCCTCGTCCTCAATTCCCTGTGAGAGATTACTCCCTTACAGGTATTTGGGCCGGTAGGAATTTGCGTCAGCTTTAATAAACCCTTAATCTTGGGAGTTACATTGTACTTTACCCAAGGAGGTTTCCATCTCGCAATTTCCGGACAAAATCAAAATCGCCGTCCACTTGACCATCAAAGACCTTTGATGATAGCGGGTTTCACGTTCAAAAGCGATTGATTTTCATTCACGCATTCAACATTCGCGAACGCTGCATTCTCTGGTGGGACATAGGTCACCTTTCCTCCTTGAAGAGAAGGGGTATCCGTGGTAGCAGGCCGTTCTCCTGAAGTATTAAAAACTCTAAACTTTTGGTATCAACCTAACAGCAATACCTGAGAGAGAGTAAAGCAGTCTCCCATCCTCTACCCAGTGGAGGCCTGGTTGCGTTATTAAGTACCAATCGGGGATTGAGTAATGTGTATAGGATACCTTACCGTCGAACGTGCCTCGGCGGATGGTGGCAAATCGATGCCCACACCCCAAGCGAATACGGGATCCCCTAGGGAACTCCGGCAAGCTCAGGGAAATCACATTAATTAAAGAAGAAAATATTTCCTACTACAGAAAAAGTGCGCCCTAAGGATGCCCCAAACAACTGGGCCTCCCTAACCAGTGGTTAAAACCCGCAAAGGCTGCCCTGAGGTAAAAGTGTTGCAGGTCTGGGGTGGAGGCTGACTTAGCCTACTGTAATCTCGAGTGACCTACAATATCAAAGTACTGAAGGTGCAGGCAAATCAATATTCTGAAAAGAGCAGATATTTACTGTATATTTTACTTTCGACTAGAGGCCCGGGGCACAAGAGTAGCTCTTGTGGCACCCGACTTTGTATTTGTTGCTGCCTTTGGAAAAAAGGTCTGAGCTCATCGGAAGTTTATACACGAGTGGGACGATGTTATTAACATTACTAATAGCAAATTAGGATAAAAGAGTATTTCCAAAAATAAAAGAAAGGGGAAAACGGGTAGATATTACCAATTAGGAAATTACCATAGAAAAAGAACCAGTTTACAAAATATTTATTTCCAGCATTACTTCTTGTACTGTACCACATTATCAAACAGGCCTCAGTAGTAAAGGAACAGGTTATAACTACAAAAATTGTATAGTAACGGAATTTCTTTAAAGCATTCATGAATTGTAAAGCCCTGGTAGTGAATAAGAAAAATGTTTTTTTTTTTTTTTTTTTTTTTTTTTTTTTTTTTTTTTTTTTTTTTTTTTTTTTTTTTTTTTTTTTTTTTTTTTTTTTTTTTTTTTTTTTTTTACATGGTTTAGGGGTGCATATTTTGACTCATAAAAGAAAGGAGGCAATCTGGACCATGCTTATACCTTCCCATATGCACATATTGAAGCATAAATGTATATATACATATAAAGAAATAATTGACGTGTGTTTACCGATTTTTCTGACAGGATTTAAAGTGGTATTTCCACAGTGTACATATTGTTTTAGAAATTATGCACTTCACTTCATCAGTGGGGACCACGCACAAAAAATGCATTTATTATCCTGTTTGGAATATACTTTTATTTCTGCGCCATCTTATCCTTCCCTCCTCTTCCTCTTTACAAAAAAGAAGATAATTAGAATTTGCACTTCAATTGAATATTCATTGTTGTTGTTTTTCTGTGCAAAGCAGTAATTTAAAATACTGTCCTGTTTGCATGTAAAAAAGACGAGAAAGTGGAAGAACTTTACGCAGTTTTCGCTATATATATATATATATATATAATATATATATATATATATATATATATATTATATATACTTTTTTTTTTACATAAGTAAACAATTGTTGAGTCGCAGATTGATGTACATTATGGCGCCTTCTTAATGGATTTTAAAGAGAAAGAAGTTATTTAGAGAGTTGCAAATTTGTGTTCAGATGATGGATGGGTCATTATGTTAATGTATTTGCAATGCTTTCATAAAATTTTGCTCATACAAAACACTCGACCAGATCTTGTAAAAGTCATCGTGTTTGTACTTGCGTCGGGGTGACATAAGGACTGGGTGTGGGCAGTAGCAAGCCCATGCCCGCATCCGCTGTCTGGGCCAACATGTCCGAGATTACGGTTCATCACGCTGATCCCTTGTTTGCTTCTGCTTTGTGTGGGCATCGAGTGTGGGGGAATGGCAACTAAATCGAAAGGCCTGTGCGACTATGTTTTGATGGTCGTGGCGGCTCTGGTGTAAGTGTGGTCCTGTAGGAGAGGTGATGATATTTTTTTAATGAATTGTGTTGAGTCTTGGCTTTAAAAAACGTAACAAATAATACAGTGACAGCTCGTAGTTTATGACAGATTGTAATATAAAAAACAACAACTAATGTAGGGAACAAACTGTGTACATTATATGAAAAGTCTGTTTAACAAATTTCATTCAAAAAGGCAAAGCTGGAGGTGTATATGATACAGTCGGGATAAAAGATTTGCAATATGTGAATGTCGTATAACAAAGGTGCCGTAAGGTCAAAGATAACACAGGGACTATAATAATAAATCAAAAGTTAGGCTTTACTTAGTACCCTTATAGTTTCAGGAGAAGTATTACTGTGCGTCTCATCGTTTTAGCCGAGTCACGACTATGTAGGTCATCACAGGCCGTCGACCCCCCCTCATCCCACCCCCAAAGCCAGGAAGAGTAATGGGACGGCCTTCTCTTCTCCCGTGATATGTGTAATTGCTGGCCGACTCGGCGGGGTTGTCCATCACGATTTTTACTTATCACAATCAAAATCCGTGATGGACAGTACATAGCTGATTCAGGGACCCCGTGAATTAAAAGGAACTAGTTATTAATCACATCAAATTAGTTGGTTTACATAGCTGATTCGAGGAGTGCGCGTCAAAAGAAACTAGTTATTAATCACATCAAAATTGTTGAGATTCGAG